TAGTAGATATCAGTGATCCGAATTTATAAAATTTTCCGCCAGCAACTTTCGTTCTATGTAATCTTAAGAAAATATGAGATATCTTATTCACTCGATTGTTTCCCTGTTTATGAGTTATAATATTTGATTAATCAGTATCTGTAATAGCAATTGAAGTAGTTCGATAACACTCTTGTGTGGTGAAATGTTATGAACTTCTTGTAGTTTGACTGTTTTTCATTTATTCTCAGGGAAACTATCAAAGAAAAGTTTCCAAACACAATAAGCACTTCTAATCAAGATAGTGTTTTGACAAGGACAATATTTCAAAATCATGAATTCCAAGCTACTGTTTCCAGTGAAAGTATTTGTCAGTGTTCACAATGTATTCGTTTGAGAATGTCATGTGAGCAATACTACAAAGAATATCAAAAATGCGCAAACTGTCTGGACTTAACATTTAAGTAAGCTCCTCACATTTGTCACTGACATTTGATGATAGCTATATACTGTGTGAATATAGTTCCAATGTGTTTTGAGGAAAACAAAGAATTATTGACAACAAATATTGAATAATATTTCTTTGAAACATTTTCCCGCAGTTTCCAGTCGAGCTAGGAATTTGATAAATTGAATTTCTACTGGTTTGATGGTAACTAATATTATATTGTAACTTTGTTACACTAGTTTTGTCCACCACTTGAACCGTTCCATATATATGACTGGTTCTACGTTGTAGCTGACTGACTGACTACTACAAAAAATAAAAAGTGACTAGTACATGGAAAGTTTACAGTTTTTCAAAAGCAGTAGATTACATATTTACAAATAGTTTGTATAAGTTGTTGCCGAAGTCGGTCTTTTAGTACAACTGAACTTTGTTTATTTCTATAAAATTCCTATTCGCTCAGCCTCCATAATTTCTATGGGGCTGCACAGCATTAAGTTGTCGGCAATGCTAGAGTTAATATATAAAACAGGAGTACATTGTATTAATTAATAATCTGATGTGGCAGAGTTTTATTTGGTCCATCTCTTGGTGACATTGCCTTTCTAATTGGTTGCATAATACTGATAAAAAAGTTGTATATTGTCCACTTTAGTTATTCGTTCTCTCTCAATAATCGCACTGGTCATTTAATAGTGTTTTGTATTCCGGATAATTGCTCAATCAACCAAATCTTTAGATCGTAAATTGTATATCGTTATTTCATCATTTTATAAAGTATTTCAAACACTGTATATTTGATACTGGTTAACTCGTTTATATTATTCCTTTTCCATAAAGACGTATCAACGATGCAATTAGGAATCATGAATTACTGTGTCTTGATAAGCCAATTTCAAATAGTCATGTATTATGTCACTTAAATTCGAACAATGATCTTCACTTGAAAAATCAGCTTGTTCATTTTAATAATCAAAATATTATACTCAATATTTTTTCAAAAGAAAACCAATGCTCACTAATATATCACTATATAGATCTGATTGAAGAGATAACCATATTGAAGAGAAAACAAATTGATTTACTGAAGTTGTTTTGTCATGAAATGAATAATACAGTGTCAATGAATGATACGAAAAATGACTTTCAGTATAAATTTCCTATCAAAGAAATTATCCAGCATTTTGTAATGTGTAAGAGTTCTTCGAATTAAAATAATTGAAGGTTAGTTTAAACAATTACCTTGTTTTACGTAAATGTTTTGCATATGCTTATGTAGATAGAGATTTATTTGAAAATCAAAGAACACCGGACAATTACATTATTTCTAGTTTAAAACTTTTCTATAATATAAAATCAGTCTCCAATCACTACTGTATGTGTTTGCGATAGATTTTTTAAAAGCTCTAGTTGAACATATGTGATCGGTAAATTTAAGCTAGAAAATTCGAGAATGAAAACCATTGAATACTAACTCAGTTTTTTTCAAGGCTAAAAATTCACTGTGAGATCCAAAGGCCTGTGTTTAATTTTTCACGGTGCTGTTGATCCGCACTGCTGAGAAATCCTGTTTTATGACGAAACAGATATCCAGTGGCTCCTTGGTTATTTGGTAGTTGTTAAACCAAGGTAAGCTGGTGATATATTATTTTAAAGTCAATGAAATTAGCAGTGAAACGATGTCTTACAAATGAGATTAGTTAGAGAACATTTTATATGAAAAATCGACTGAAGTTAGAGATGAAAGCTGACGAGTACCTACTCAGTGATTCTAAACGCATGGTGTTCATCTGATATTATATTTTTAACGGGGTCACTGCTGTGGACCTTTCGAAAATCTAAAACAAGTACGAAGTAGCTGTCAACTATTCTAACGTCAGTAGTTCTATAACTGATATGTCAGTCCATGACTTGAATCGTCAAAAAGTTTCTTCATATTAATAGTTTTACATAAATATATATAATATTTGCTCCTAGCATTTAAATAAGAAAAGAAGATAATGTATTTTGTTTGTTTTATGACCAACCTAACTACTTAGTATATTCAGTCAGCCGGTTACAATAATCTAACATTTGACACATATATTTATCAGTATAATTTGATACACTGTGTTAGTACAAGGAGACAAAACTACCAAAATTAATCGCCGAGTATTGAGAGCAGTAACAGTATAAGACAGTAAAAGTAAATAATACGGTTCAATGAGTGTGAAAGAATTCATGAAACAGGAAATACAAAATAATTTTTGAACTCAAGAATATTAAGGAAGGGAAAGAGTTTGTAACTTTAATCTGTTTGCTTTTAATATTCAAACATGAAAAAAGAGAATGTATTCTGTTTTACGATCAACCTAACTATTCACTTTAATAACATTTTGGGTAGAAACCATTAATTAATTAATTTCAATTTCTTACAACTAAAAGAAATTAACTGGTCAAATTGACTGAAAAGTTAACCTTATCTTTTAATGATATTTCATTCTAAGTTTCAAAGGGTTTTATTGGTGTTATGTCCTTAGCTTACACGATTACTGCGAATAAGATTACCAAATTTAGATACGAGAACTTTTACGAACAACAAATGACGCAAACACCTGAACGTACATCCTGGAGTCCCGATTGGTCCTTTTTCCTGCTTGTTAAGTCCAGAATACAAATCTCAGCCCCTGAGATGTGAATCATGTATTCCAAACATACTGGGTTTATATGCAAGCCAAACAGATCACATCACACCATAAAATATAAAATAACATCTTTGATGGATCTTATAAGTTTCCTTGCTAAGTTATAAACATGGTGGGGATGATAAATTGTCTTCATTTCATTTCACACAGTAGTCATTAAGAAAAAACATTCATTTAATTTATCAAATTGTATTAAGAGCAAATATCAAAGCAAGCTATTCTAACTGAGGGGAATTGTGGGAGATTCTAATGTCCAGTGATCATGAGAAGTAGATACAATACTGAACAAAATAATTTACATTTTAAGACATGTGAAATTTTGTATAAATACAGAAATCATTTAAGGTTTTTCTCCTCCAGTTAAGTGGATCGATTTCCACTTCAGTACTGTACTAGGCATTGTTTCAATATTAATATGTCCCATCAGAGGTATGTATCCTTTTTACGTCCAGCGTCAAATTTACTATTCTTTGATAGTTTGTTTCAAAGGTGTATTAATATAACTAAAATAGAAATAACTGAAAATGCTTTTTTTGTTTATTTCAGCCATGTCATACGCTGTGTAATTGTAAATTTGAGTCAGGCTAAAATTTACGTGTATGGAATTGATAACAATATCTGTTACGTCATTAAACAAACTTTCTATGTCTTTACCGTTAAACATAATATTTTACGAAAATTTTTCTTTTAATGTACAGTTTCGTTGTTATGTGATTTTCAAATTGTTTTAAAAGCATATGACGGACAACAAAAATAAAAAAATACTTTCCACATGGAAGCATGCATAGTTCTGAAATTTCTTTCTTTTAACACATACTATTGATTTATAGTCAGTAACATAATGTAAAACAAATAAAAAAGAAAAGTTGGGGAGAAAATTTCCGTAGTCAAGATAAAACTCGATACATAGTAAAAAAATACTGCTTTAGAGTATTTTATTCATAAATAAACTTCATCAAAAATGATTTTTTTATTGATTGTACCTGTGAAGTCTCATATAGGATAACAATGACTAAAGTTTGAGCACTTTATACCAAGCATTATACATTAGGCAGATGAAAGTAATCAATAGTAAATCTTAAGTGACGACTCATTTCCAATGCATAGCGAAATGTCTAACTGCCTCTCTAGCCAAGAATTCTCTGCGTACGTTATACATCATTTCAATGAGGAAATATCTTATTACTGGAAACTAATCTCTCTGATGATTTTAAGTAATATGCTAAGACCAAAGCCATCTTATTTTGAATGTAAATTTCTGTAACATAATCCTGTTAGCTTGAATCCAAAAACGTACTTAGTGTAGTATTCAGACACTAAAAATAACATTTATAAGGGTTTCAAAAATAAATTTATGAAAAAAACAGAATTTTTGCTGAGTCCTTTTTTACTTTCAAGGAACACTTTTGAAATAAAAATTCAAAAGTAAGGAATGAATCCATTGCCAAGATCTAAAATATAAATATTTCGTCAAACTATTATGACTTCCATTTTTACAACTTGGATTAACTGACTGATAATAATTGAACTGACGGATTCACTAGTACAAATGGTTTACGAATTGAATAAACATAATTGTTCATTTTGATCCTGATTTACTAAAGAAGTTAATTGATTACAAGAGCTATGAATAGTCGACAGCATGATCATATATTTTTATACAAAGCATTTGAAAGACACAGATTGCCATTAGTTTTTATTTCCTCTATGTATATTCATTAACTATAATGTAGAATGTAAAGTCGTTCGAATCATCTTTATCAAATGATAATAATACTATGTTGGACGAATTTGTTCCAGTGTACACTTGGTGCAAGAATTTGTCTGTAATTTAATCGGTTCAGTTAAACATTTACATTAATATGGGCTTGTTATGCTGATGCTGATGATTAACGTATTCTAGACATTGAAGAAATATTATTTAAGTACAAATGTTTTATTTCATGCTTGTAACATGTTTGATTTGATTGATCTTTTGATGTTCTTTTACATTCACACTTCTTAAAGTAAGCTATAAATTTATTTACAATTGAATTTGGTAGCCAAAAACTGCATAAAATAACCTGTATACCAATCAGTGTAAGAAATGCAAATATAGCTGGGACAAGTAAAAATTTATATTCTTTCCAGTCTATTGTTTGTTCTTTGATAATGAAAGTATGATTTCTGTATGTGACTGAAGTTTCTAAAACTAGTTTGGTTTTTGAATGGTACTGTAACGTTTTATTTACAATGGACACAGCTACAAAATAAATAATGAAGAAGGACAATAATAAATTTGTTAGTTTTGTTTATGTACAAAGAAATTAATTTTGGTAAATAAACATATAGCTCTTTATGATATTGTTTATCTCATTACATTCTCTCAGATTCTCCCAAAGTTTTATCACTATTCGAAATATATCTGTTTAACTAGGTCTCACGGTATCTGTTATGCCTAGAATTTAGATTCTTATTATACTGCATACAATTAGAGCACTCGAAAGCTAGAACCCTTCAAGTTACAAATGAGAAGACAGAAGACAAGTGAAAGAAATGCTATTCCAAACAGTGTCAAATATAATACAAAACTATCAAGCATTTATAGTTTTTAGTAAAAATGAAATCATCATTATAGTTATCCGACCCGCACACAGGGGGTCATTAGCATTTGTCCAATAAGTAAGCTACACATAGAGATTCTCGAATATTCTTTCAAAAGATGGTTGGGTAGAATATCGTCGTCTCTATCTGAGCTTCTTAGATCATTCTCGAGTTCACCCGTAAGTCGTCCTCGCGTTATCAATATACTGAATGCTATTATACGAGTACATATTTTTATCAAGTATTTTGTAATTATCATAAAAATCTTATTTCAATATTTTAGATGTATCAAAAAGACTACTCATTCGTTCATATTTTAACATGTTATATGATACTGTGTGTTGTACATTGAAAGTTAGACAAACAATTTGTTAGTTAGTAATAAACTCTATCTTTAGTTTTCCAGTTGAGTTCATGGTCTTATTTAGATTGAAGTGTTTGAGGAGAAAGTTTTTCATGTCAAGATGATTGCAGTAAAGACGTCTTGTAGTAATAGTAGCAGGGTCGAATTTGTTAAGTCTCTTTGGAAATATTAATTATGAAGTTAACATCAGGGCTTCATCAATTAATCATTTTCAGTGGCACGTGTTTACTGACAGCAGTTATACAACTATCATTAGATATTACTGATGTAAACTCCAAGGATATGTTCATACATATTGATCTGTGCAAAATCAACTTTGTTACATAAAAAATCATTCTCAAGAACTTATAAGCGCAGATTAAATATTGTGAGATCTTGTTTGTTGTCATGAAATCATGGGAAATTCGACCTGGCACATTATTTAGGTGGTTTGTTCTCGTATAGAGTTGAGTTGTTTGCACAAATTGATTAACGAATACCAGCAGACTGGTAATCGCACGAGTACCTCACTAGTAACGTCTTACAACGAGTGTTGCACATACGTTTAACGAATTCTAATTAACATCCAAACCTATTCCATAAAGCAATAAGTTGTGTAGATTAATGGTCGTATTGGAATTCAGTCGTTTGAATTCAATCGACAATAAGAAATAAGTATTGACGACATTATTTCATTCTCAGTGATATACGTCGAATATACTGAAACTTTACTTATAATCATTTATTCTACTAACATAGACTAAAGTGTAGCCATGAGATAATCCTTAAGAGTTTGTTAACGCAAAGTTTCCGGTGATAGCATTTTCTTTACTTCATTGGATAAAATTCTCTTTTAAAAAAACTACTAATTTTTGGACCTACATTCAGTCTAATGAAGAAAGATAGAACCCCAACTAAATTAATAAATCTATGTTTATAGTGTTAATATGTTCACTAGTGACTGAATTTTACAGTGACTCCAAAATATTGTAAACTGAGAAGCAACAAGATAGTGCATTTACTTATGTTGATTATGAGACATGTATCATCTGTTACAATCGATGAAGGTTTCATAATATTGAGAGTAAATTAAAGTCAGAAATATAAGGCACTATATGCTAACCATTTAGTGATATAGTGATATCACCATGATGAAAATGTTGGTATTCACTTCTAAAAAGTAACATACTACAATCAAAATAATGTGGGCTGCCTCGTGATTCCCAACGTTCATGATTCAAGTTGAAAACTGTTAAGTAACATCATACAATAATTGTTTGGTACATATTTGTATACAGTAATAACTTTAAATAATAATACAAGGTTGAATGAAATTACAACCCATAATTTATACCTTAATAATTATTATCAATTCAACTTACATTTGTTTTGGCCAATTAATTGAGTTTCTGATATAAACGACTTTAAAACATCAGAAACAAGAGAATTATTTTTATCATTCATAGAATTCTTTGCTAACTTGAAACTTAATCGGATGTTATTTTTCTGACATGTAAATGAATGAGCTATGGAAAAAGATATATACTACGTTTAAGAACAAAGATAATTGGGTTATTCAAGAAAAAAAAAACAATTGTATTACGTAAAAAAGAAAGCTTTTTGTAATTAAAACACGTTAGATAACGATATAAACTCCTTAGAAATGTTACTTTTTTTTATTCTATCCAGTATTTTCATATATTTCCCTCTAATAAGTTTTTGATTGAGATCAGGAACCGATTGATGTTAATGATCTCCACAACCCCTATACTAGTAATCAACATGTGCTCACTAGTGACTAGCTTCGTGGGGGAATTCTCGGAGTTATAGTGAGAAGCCGTGACCAGTGGAGCCAATCCATTTCGGGTAGAGACAGGTATCTACCTCAGTACAATGAAAGATGGTCGCGCAATTTCGTGGATTGGTTGATGTTAGACACTATCACCATTAGATGTCGGCTCAGTGGTCCAGTAGGTTAAGCGCTCGCGCGCGAGACCGACGGCCCTAGGTTAGAAGCCTGCCGGTAGGACCGCGGATGCGCACTGCTGAGGAGTCCCACAATAGGACGAAGTGGCCGTCCAGTGCATCCAGGTTTCCAAAGGTGTTCTAACATCAATCGGCTAATAATCTCAACAAAAACCATAAAGTTTATTCATTGTAATCGTGGTGCATGAATATATCCCCACTAATGACATCATAGTCTATTGGCATTATAAAGTTTTTTAAATATAAACTCTCATATTATAACTAAATTAAATTTTGAAAACCGAAAACAATTAAATGTCTTTTAAAAGTATAAATCAACTAAAGCAAAATTTACAGGATTTATGTTTAATTATTTAAGAATATTAATTTTGATAATTAAAAGGAAATTGTGAGTTAGGTTAAATTGAATGTAGATAGAATATTAAATTATTTTAAGATGAATAAGTTTGAATTCAAATGAACTGTGACTTTGTCTCAGAAGATTGACAATATTGCAAGATATGCAAAGCTAATAGTATTGCTTGTTGAAACTTAGTATAAGAGATAAATTTATATTTATATTGTAGAAAATCAGTCGTGGTTTATAGATTCACTTAGATAATGTTTCGTAATAGTCATTTTAGATATATCTAAAGTAAAGATGATATATCCCGACAAGAATAATGAATGTTAACTGTTGGGATCTATTTATGGAATAATACTATAGATATATATTTATTGTGTAATTGTTAAGTAACTAAACTATGCATATTCATGTTCCACTTATTATAAGCTTTAATTTGACTCATAGACTATTATTATACGATCTACCATTCTTCAGTTGTGTCCAGTCTATTATTTACAGTCTTCCGCATTCATGGGCACTTCTGGTTAGATATTGTACAAATGTTATTTTCTGTTTTATGGTGTGATGTAATGTGTTTGGCTTGTATATGAACTCAGTATGTTTGAAACACATGATTCATATCTCAGAGGCTGAGATCGATGTTCCGGAATCAACAGGCAGTGCTAGGCAGGATCAATCAAGAATCTAGACTGCTAGTACGGGTTTATACGTCATTGATCGGTTCGATAAGTCACTGTTCTCTAACTGGCCGTATCGTTACGTTATAACAGAAAATGATATTTTTTTCAGTATATATTACCAGAACCATTCTATAATCTCGAAAGGAATCATCTCAAATTACTTGCAGTAATCTTCTACATAGACTATATTATCGTGAATACAAAAATGCATTGCTGTCATAACTTAGTAATTCAGAAATTAACTTAAGTAAACTATATTACTTGTCAGTAGTTATTGTTAAATTAAAGAATATTCATGGCTCTCATTTAAGAAGGGGCTCGTTTTTATTAGTCGATATTATTAGTATTGATTCATCACCTTTAAAACTCATTTGTTTTTCTAGGTAAATGCAAAATATTTGTTGGCGAATTCCTGAAATGAAATGAAATTGTGTAATAATAGATTTGTACATAATTTGATTAAAGCAAAAGTAAAATCTATGTAAAAGTAATGATACGCGATTCAAATTAAAATTAATTAATACCTCTTCAACTTTAAACGATGTACTACATTCTCCACGAGTCATTTCACCAATAAAATCAATAAAAGAAATATAATCTATCATTTCATATTAGTTTTATATGAAATACATTATCGATTAAATAATAATAATAATAAAAAGAGAACAGTTTGTCCCTACCTATAAAGTGTACAGGTACATGGTAATCAAAACTAGGAAGTGATGTGATCTCTGGGAATCGACTAACTTTAAGTACAAATTCATTTAATGATTTATTACTAAAACAATCTAAAAGTTTAATAACTTTTATTGATATTGTTTTATTGCATTTCATTTTTACTCGTGAATCATTTGTCTAAAGAAAAAGAAAAAAAATAAAACATTGAATGAGTTAATAAATTAAATGTTATTTTGATTCATAAAAACTCTAAATAGATATTGTTTGAGTAACTGATAAATAGAAGGAAATTGTATTACAGGAAATTCGATATTATGAAACGTTTTCGACCTTGTGACCAATATTAAGTGGTAATTCTTTTTGCTCTAATGAAAAGCTTTGGAGTTCAACCACGTCAAAATAGATCGTCAGCTCTTCCTAGTTTTTAAGAATTAGTTGACTAATGTCAATTTGTAATGTAAACCATGATATTCAACAATTTTTTCAAACCTCATTGTATTCATAACATAAATTGGCTGAATTTTATGATAGTTCAATTGTATTAATAACATTCTAAAGCGATAAAAGTATTTGAACTGCATTCTACTCATCTAATAAAGTTCAACATTCAAATCGAATAGATTTTGAAGGATTAAACTATTAATTCATCAACTGAATACATGAAAATCATATTTACAATTGAAGTTACTATATAAAATAAACTTTTTTTGAAGAAACGTTTTATAATTTCAACAGTTGGGATCATGAGTCAATTGAAGCTAGATCATCATGGAAAACCTGGAAGCACTGGACTATATAAATATATACATGAATGATTAAAAATAGAAATTAACATCTACGAAAACATGATCAAAGGTTATTCATTTATGTTCATTTCAATACTTTCCTAATAAAATGATATGCAACTTGTGAGAAACGAATGTTGTGAATGTTTAATATTCACTTTGTAATTTTGTTTAAGTTCATATAAATTGTGTTGAATTAATTAGGTACTACAACTATTACTTCAATATCACGTGAATGTATATAGAGCATAATGGATACTGAATTTCCCTATCTTGGTTTTCATAACTGTAGAACGATTTAAAGAGTGGTAGATGGAAAGGGGAGTTCAATAAGTTATACAGAATGGTTTTGTAAGAACTCAATGCAGAATATTCTAAGTATCTCTTAAGATACTGTAGCCGTATAATTGGAGTTTTTATTTGTTTGAGTTATTAATCATTGATTCTTTGAATGAGTACGATCGTGTTTAAGAATTTGAGATTAAAAACAGCTAAACTGATATACGACAATGTTAATCATTCATCCAGTATTGCACTCAATTATTATGCTGTACATAAAGTAATCATGATGTGATATTAAGAAGTTCTGTTTAGATAATTTTTTTCTAAAAATGTATAAGAGGACCTTACCTGACGTTCAACAAAACTACTCTTGTTTTAAGTGTTGAATAAACAATTATAAAATATCAGATGAAATTGACTCATTGAATTATGGCTGATATACCCTGCTTGGGTTTTGTAATGCATGAATTTCCTTAACTGCATGACAAACTTTATATGCATAAAAAACCTTAAGGAATTTCAGTAGTTATTTGTTTTAAAATATGTTATTCTGAAGTATTACAATTGTAAGTTTATTGTGAATTACTGAATAGATATACAAACATGACAGTAAAGACCACCAAACAATTAATGATTATTCACTTTCATACATATTGAAGGTTTTAATTTGATGTAAAACGAGTCAACTGAGTAATCACCTCGTTAGTCATTTGTTTTAGTTTAAGCGGCGAGACTATAGTTTATGGACGAATCAATAACGTATAAGATAACAGGTCTCGGATTTTTCACTCATCCATTTGGATAAATAGAGTTTTGGCATTATGGCTGATTTCAGTTCGTGATGAAAATCCGAAATCTAATTCCTAAGCTTAATCATCAACTGTAAATTGTAATTCTAATTCATTACACAGGTTCATAAACCCTCCTGATTGTTAAGCGAACACTCTCAAGGTCAGTCTAACATCCCGCAAAGGTCGTCTATGAATTATAGTCTCATTGTTTAAGCTGTTCTATATTTCAGACAAGTGTCTTACAATTATCACACTTATGAAAGTTTTTCTTACTATTTGTATTACTTCAAGGTTTACTCAGTTATCAGCAAAGTACTTTAAAAAAATTTGCTTAGCAAATTGGAAAATCTGTTTGCTTAATCATCAGTGTATATGTTACAGAGTACGCAATGATGACAACATGATCACACGATAGCTCTTTAAAAAAACAGGAAATCACCAATAAAATCTATTGCTGGTATTAACTATACACTATCGATTAGTAAATAATATCAGTTTAGCTAAATGAGATTTCTTTTGACCAGATAAGACTTGATATTCAACTATTTTTTTGCTTGATTAGGTAAGTTGAATAATTTCGTAACAACTTTCAGTAATAGAAGATTAATATGAAGCCTACAACTTTCAATCAATTTTTATTAAAATTAAATCGTGGCGATTAGTATTTTGACTGTTCCAGACTAAAATATCCCCATATTTTGAGTGAGGTAGTTTCCTTTCTGATCCATTCTGCAAAAAAGCATTACAATGTCATTATTTCCTGATGATTTATCTAAACACCTGGTAGGGTTTTGTAAACAAGTTGAAACTAATTATATCTTCTTTTTCCTGTCGAAAGTCAAAATAATGGTAATTTTACTACATTTTATATTGCTATTTTATTGTTTCAGTTCAATTACTTCCTGTAATAAACATTACAAAAACATTGAATAAGAGTAAGGCATTTGATTACGAACTTAGCGAAAATATATTCCGATTTATATCTTTTTATATTATTTCAATGTAAAATCACTTTATATAATTTAACAACCAAAAATGCAGTCATAAGAATATATAGTTTCTGAAAAATAATAATCCTGGTTATCTTTATCCTTATCATTATTACGAATACATTAATTTGACATTATGCTATTTCTTTCATCGACAAAATTTCAATAAAGACGTGATCATTTCAAATAAACTAAGCATTAGGTAGAAAGCTATAAAGAACGTTAAACAATAACACCGTTGGATGCCGGCTCATTGGTTTAGATGTTAAACGTTCGCGCGCAATACCGATAGGTCCTGAGTTTCATTCCTATGAGTGGGATCGTGGATGTACACTGCTGAAACGGCCGTCCAATGCTCCCAAGTTTTCCATGGTGGTCCAGCTTTAGTTGACTCATCAATTTAGCTATTAAAAATGATATATTTGTGATATCTCATTCAATAGAAGAATTAAATTTTCTGACGTTTCGCGACTCAGTTTAGGCCACTTCTTCAAAGAATAAATAGCCAAATTGTACTAACCGAAGTTTGGATAGTACAAAGGAACGAAGCAAGAATATTAAGTGCGATCAGTTCTACGGGATTATTAGGTGGTTTCTTTGTGAACCTAAGATGTTCTTTGGATTGAGTCAAGATATTGCTAGATGACTCTTCAATATAGGATGTGTCGATTGTGATAGACTCCAAATGAAATCGGCAATACCAGTTCATGCCATTTTCAACAAACACCAAATCGATATTAAAAACATCAAAATAATACAAAAAGGCTTTTCCAACTACAAAGAAAGGCGAATAACTGAAGCTTTTCATATAATGCTTAATCCTACTCTCCTTGATAGAAAAAAGGCCTCACTATCCATCTGACCTGGACTACGTATCCAAGCTACCATGTCTGATTCTATTCACATTTTACACTATCATCGTAAAGACAAATTAAACTCTATCCTTTCTCACTACAAATGTCTCAATTTTTAATCCTTTACCATACATACGCACACACGCACAAATTTCCAAACATATCTCATATAAATCATCTTGACCGGAATGACATGACATTGATTTAGTCAGACCTATTTTTGATTGATCGCATTTAATATTCTTGCTTCGTTCCTTTGTATTATTCAAACATGGGTTAATATAAATTGGTTATTTATTCTTTGAAGAAGTGACTTAAACTGAAACACGAAACGTCAGAAAATTTAATTCTTCTATTCAATGGGATATCACAATTATATTATTTTGATCTATTTAATTAGAACTGTTTATTTTGTATGAAAGGAATATTTTACGTTACAATTTAGTGCAATCGTAAAAGAATGTAGGGATAAATAAGATGTCAAACGCCAATATTTTAGCTTTATGTTTTATATTTTATCTTAAATACATCGCTTCAGTAGTGAGGCACAATCGTAGAAACGGCTCTTTATTATCATTTTCTTTAAAACATATTTTTCTATCGTATTACTTCAGAACTGTAAACCAGATATTTAGTAAACTTAGAGTATGCAATCATTTCCTTTTTAAACTATACTCAGCAATATACGCATATTAATATTTGAAAGTGTAGATTTTGAATGGTTTCCAGGTCATGTGTTACTCTCAACATCATCATCACTCTTCTGATACTAGTTATCTAAACGTTCATTTTAGAGTAATTTGAAAAATAGAGGTGTTTGTCAGTTGATGGATTGTTTGAAAATGTAGTTGAAATTATTACATAAATCAATTACTTAAGAAAATAAACCACATTTCTTTTTTTAGAGATGATCATTTTAAATTATTTGCGGTACAAGTACACTTTTGTGGAACATTAAAATTAATTCATTCTAACGTTATATTTAAATATAATATAAGTGTGATTTGTACTATATTATTCTATCATGTAATTCACAAATGGTTAGACTTTATAAAAATAGTTAGGGAAAATGAAATTCCCCAGTTACTTAGAATTGATCGATCACTGGGTGGTGATCATTGTCATGGATGTCAGGTCGTTCTTAGTGTAGATCGAATCCTATAGACCAAGTTGCAATGTGGCCATCAGTCTAGTTGACTCGACATTGTGTGCATTATGTTGAGATAAGATGACGGTTATTGGTAGTAAATAGGAAACTCTGGATAGTTTAGTGGCAACGTCTCTGTGAAGCTGGGTGACGCGGGATCAAACCCGTCAGGGAGCATCAGTTCCCTCAAGGTTACAGGTACACCGTGCTAACGAGTGCCAAGTAGCACGCAACCTAGATCCAGGGTTTCTTGTTGACTACCTCCAACCACCGTCTTATCCCTATTTAGTTTTCTACAAAAATTTTACTTGATTTCTATACAGGAAATAATTGATCACAACATTTTTCACAAGTTGTTCAGAGTTGGTTTATAACTGTCAAAAGAAGCATTAAACCCTTTTTGGCTTAAATCTCATCATCATACATTTATTTACACTTAAAAGTAATATTAATAAAGATTTGAATTATTCTGTTATTGGTATTAAGTGTTAAATTTGATTAGCCTTTGTTGGGATATATTCACTCATTTCCATTATTTATTTATCATTATTTGGTAAGAACGTGATTACGTGTATTCAGTTGGATGATTTTTATTTATCTTCGCCCGTTGAATTCCATTAACTAAGTTCATACACAGATTCAGTCGGAATGTTTTAACTAGTTCCTAAAATCTGTTCGTTTAAGGTTTTTCAAGCTCGATGTCTTCATTATTTCGTTATTTATCAAATTAATGAAGCTATTATAACCCTGAGGACTGTTACGTATAAATATTATATCAATAAGCAGTGCGGTGATTAAGAATGCTTACAGAAATCCCCGAAGTAAATTCACTGGACGAGTGGTTTTCTGAAATTGTTCAGATAATTAAAACAAAACAGTTGTTTGGATACAGAGGTTAGCGAGGCACTGAAGAAACCTTTGTATGATAAATAAACTCAATATCTCATACACTTAATAGTACCCTATACTCTTGTTAAGCAAAAACTTGAAGTTAATACAGAAATTTATGATTAGTGATTGAATAAATTAGTTCATGGCTGTGGTTCCCATATCGACTCATAAGTCATATTCGTTTAGTTATCTTGGAGTTGAGTAATTGAGCTATCAATTCTGTCGACTCAGTCACTTTAGAACTTTTTCAGATCAGACGATTACTTAGTACACCATTCGCTTTTCGTTTTGAATGCACAATCAGTCATGAAACATTAATAAATTTCACTTCTCCTCTGATTTTGTTGTGCAGATAAAGTGATTTACATATCATTTCACATAGTGTATTATTTTCATTGTGATATGATTTTAAGTGTGTAAAAATTGTTCTACTCTTACTAGGACAAAAAGACTCATGATCTCGATTTCAATCTCTAACTATAATAATCTATATCTTACTGTTTTTTCTTAAGTATCAACAACTAGACTTACCCAGTAAAGATTTCTTATATGTGTTCGATTTCGTGAACAAATAAAAATCAAATTATCTCCCTCATTGACATACAATTCATCAGGATTTTCTTGAAATCTATATGAAATAAAACAATAGTATTTAAAGAAAGAATAAAACAAAGTAGTATCTGAAGTGTTTCTCAGTGTTAAAGTAGAGAAAATATTTTAATTAAGAAACCAGTATTCATTTATATTGGTACGTCCGTTTTTTATTTTGCAACAAATACTCAATAGGAAAATTTAATTATTTTCTTTTAGCTACTGCTTGGTTGTGAAAAGATATTTATACATTGGAAGATAATATCAATGTCCCATTGTTTTGTGTTAAGTTTGTTTTTGTTGATACCATTCAAGCGCATTAGTTTTAAAAGTGGTAAGTTTATGAAAATGTGAATAACTTAATGTTGATAAACTTACTGTAGTAGATGTTATGCATTTCAGTTAGATATTTATTCAAATAAAAAGCATGTTTGATAAACTGAAAATCTCAAAAGTTTGTGAACATTTATCTCACTCAGAAGGGGGTTTCGTGGGGATTTTAGTAATTTAATAGTTGAATTCACGAGTCAATCGAAGCTAGAGCACCATAGAAAACCTAGAAGCACTGAACAGCCGTTTCTTCCTAATATTATTTACTATTATTATTAAAAGCTTTATTCAACATATTTTTTGGTACAATATAGAATTCTCAGCATAAAGTATTTCAACAAGTTTCCTTTTCTTATATCTTGATCGATTGTGATGTTAAATTTTGAATGATGACCAGCTAGATGTTAGGAGTTCGGTAATCCACATTTGATTAATGTCCATTCGTTTCAGTGCATATTGCCAGCCACTATGATGTCGCTGATTGTACCTTTTTGCAACCCGTACAGCGAAAAGTTGTAAAATTTCCATAAATGCTCCTGAATAGATTGTGAGCACAATAGACATAATGATATGCTAAAACAAACAAGAAAACAGATAACTTGATGAAATATCTAGATTGGAGGAACAGGTAGCCCAGATATTCAAGCAGGCCGCCAACGATATCGGACTGCCCAGCGAGGCGCATCCACGATTCCTCTCGCGGGACTCGAATTCATGATCTATTGGTCTCGTGCGCAAGTGCTTAACCATTGGATCAATAAGTCCTAGGTTCAAGTCCCGCGAGCGGGATCGTGTATGCGCCTCGCTGAGGAGCCCAATATTAGGACGAAACGGCCGTCCAGTACTCCCAGGTTTTCCACGGCGGACTAGCTTTAATTGACTCATAAATTCGGCTATCAAACAATTTATGTATTAGAAACCGATAAAGTATGAAAAACAAGTTGCACTTATTTTAATTACGATTTCATAAACTTTATTTCGACATTATTAGGGAAATCACTTGAACAAGATGATTATAAACAAAATAAAATTCCCACTATATATTAATTAGCATCGCTTGCTTTAGTAGTAACCTGATTTAAACTTTTATAGAATTTGCTGACAGTATGTTTAATTTCATACATAATTCTACAGAAAGTATAATTTTAAACATTTAGAATTTGAAATGGTGAATAGTGTTGATAAAACAAACTGGTGCAACATTTTGAAATAGTTACCAAATGTTTTAACATACTATGTTATTTGGAAAATTAGTAGCAATGCTCTATAAAATAAAAGATCAAGTTAAATTAATTCTAAAGTATCTTTATATCTAAACGTCTCACTTGAAGTACTTCTACTGATTGACTTGATGTTTATTGTCACTTAATAAGAAAGGTGAATTGTTTACACTGGTTTACTAGGGATATATATTAATGTTTACTATATTCTAGGAGCATCAGTGCTGAAATGAGACTAGCCATTATGAAGCATATTAGGAACTAAGTATTACACCAAAGAAATATATGGCTTTAGTAACCAGAGATCTTTGGTGTTATTAGCTTTGCATACGTTTAGACAGTCTGTTTTGGATGCATTTCTTCTGTGAACTTCCTGTACAAAAGCCTGAATGACCGGAGTAGATAAAGATGTTATTGCATAAAAATGTTTTGATGTATCTTAAAAGATAATTATTGGGGTTTATGATGAGTAGTTTATAGGTGAGAATATAAATAGAGCATTGCTATTAAATTATTAAGCTTTTTTATATTAGTTATGTAGGATCTCGATGGAACAGTCAAGATGAATCAAACTTTCCTTTATTCCTACTTTAGGGAAACCTTAAAAGTGATCATAGCTGTGACTTTAAATAAATAAAGTTTAATAATGTGGCTTATTCAACTTTCATAATTAGATAGAAGTGTTGGGAGGATGCTATGAACATGAGTTTCATATTGATTGACAAACAACAGGAAATAGGATACAGTCTTGAAAGAAACGATACCTTGTTTAAGACTGAAACCGACTTAATCTCGTGTCGTATTAAAACAGGTTACCTCTTAGTCAGCAGTAAATAAATGTAGTGATATAAAGTAAATTACATCGCGAAAACGATTCATGAGACAAGACAAAATGATTTTATCAATTTTGATAGGACCATATTGTTTGATCATGTTATTTGAAATACTTTTTCTAAATGGCCAAATGTATAATCATGAGATTAGTCTACGGCTTTTATATAATAATGGGATTATTGACTGATCTATGCGTTTAACATGCACAATTCCAACATTTACATTTGACTATGTAAATGTTCAAAATTCAGTTGCTTATGAAAAATTAGAAACTGTCACATTCATTATTTTTGAATACTGATTGTTTATAGATAGGCTTTATAAGAGCTGATTATTCTTTGTTCTGATTAACAACTTAATTTTCGGTATATTCAGTATTCGTTGAAAAACTTCATACCAGACTGATATATATTATAACTTTTCTCAGTTCAAAATGTTTTCAAAAATACTATTCACACTTTGTATTGCGATGAGTATTAGTTCTTTTTTATCACAAGCATAAATATGAAACATATATTTGTTGTTATTATTCACTGGTTGATATGTAACTAGCTGATAGTTGTGAAATAATGTTTAACTCCTGAATGTTTGTACTTGAATATTGTCAATATTTAGTAACATAAGGGCTTCATACTACATTACATTAATGAATGCAAATCAAATTGATCCATTTAAATTTATAAAATATTTTTCATTTTATTATTATTCTACGACGTACAATGCTTTTCTGTTTTACAGAAAGAACACTGATAAACTGCGTCAATTAATATTAGCAAAATAAAGGTTAATCAATATTTTGAAGCTAAAGGTTTAATTTCCCAAAGGGCCCAGAGGTGGGGACATTTTTATACAATGAAGAACTACTTCATTAATATCTCAACTTATTGTTTTAAATAACCATATAAACAATCAAGTAACACAACTTTTGTTATTTTCCTCAATTCGTAATAAATATTCAAATAAAATTTGATTTTTAAGTGAATAAATATTAAATCATTTTGGCAGTCTTGTTGCTTGCATAGATATATAATAAGTATTAATTAAATCAATCAAAATTATGGTATATACTTCGGGGAGGAGGAGGGGGGGCGGAAAGCTAAAAATGTATAAGCTTTGATAATATTTATTTGTAAGTTAGTACTTAACTATAGTTTTAAAATTGGTATATATATAGAAATTAAATATAGTAAGATTGAATGACTCTATTTTTAGATTTTGATAAGAATGGTCGTCTAATTTGAAATAGACATTTCCAGTTGTTGTTTTCTTTTAAGGATAACTTCAAATAACTATGTTTATATAAATCACGATGTATGACATTTAATTAAATATGATTTTTATACTTTCATTAACAGTAGTGAACCAGAGAGAATTAATATCTTAATCGATAGAAGTGTTTCTGTATAGAACAGAACTTATGACTGTCCATAATTGTTCAAAATTGTTGTACGGGAAATAATCAACTGCTTCTTATTTTATAAAATGTTTTATTTAGTTAAAAGAAATCGAATTGTATATGCGAAATTATTGTTTCAGTTTTCATTCTTACTTTAGTTTTGTACACATATAGTTTTCTTGGTGAGACTATGATTTATAGACAACCTTTGAGCGATGCCAAAGTGACCTTGAGAGTGTCAATCTACTTCATAGGACTAAATGAAGGTTATAAAGAATTTCGATGAATAAAGACAATGATTTACAGTTGATTGTAAGGGTTAGAATTTAGATTTGTGGTTTTTATTACTAACTGATATCAGCTAAAGTGCTAAGACACTATTTGGACGAATGGGTGAATGTATTCCGGGCCAAAATCCAAAACCTGTTATCCTGAATCTGATCGGTTCGTCCGTAAATTATAGTCTCGCCGTTTCCTTCATTCATATACTAAGTAGATAAGTAGATAACATATAACTGTTCATTTTTTTGAAAGACTTCAGTATTATTAGTACTTATTAACTTAAACGTCGTAGGTTTCAACATGAAAACTATTTATTGTAAAATCAAATAAATAAATCTTGTTCGTATTTAAGGCGTGTGTAATTTGTATTGCATAAAAACTATGCAACCATCTACATTGAGCGTGTGGTTACTTGATAATTTCTGAATGCACAAAGAAAACATTGATATTACACAATGATGTATCAGATTTAAAATATCTGGAATTGAATCTTACCTGTTAATCATTAAAATGAAGCTTTCATTAGAGTTCAAGATTTTGGAATTGATGCACAACACAGAACAATGAATTCTAAATTTTTAAGTTGTTACCACTAGGGTACCTGTTTTATGCTAATGATGTCTATTTTTTATTCACACTGAATTGAGAGATGAAATTGTACCTAATTTAGAAAATGTTTCGCTTAGTTTTGTTTATAACCTACACATTGAAGCGAGTTGTTAGACTTAATCCCACGAACCATGTGTATTATACTTCAAGGAATCGAAGTATCAACAATTAAGTTGAAACAGCTAATAGGTTTTAAATCGCAGATGTAGATGATATTCTAACCATTATATAAGGGATGGGTTTAATATCACTTGATTAAGGCAAGAAAAAATTATCCAACAACTTAACTTGTAACTTGGGTGGTAATACCAGAATATTATTCATTGTAAATAAACTCTAAACGTTACAATATGGTGAAATATGTTAAATGAGAGTGTATAAACATGCAATAATTAATGTATGTTAATTAATCAATTTTTTTCATTTGTCTAGCAATTTCATTAATTCAGTTAGAAGCTAACATATTCAATTTAACACTAATTTGAAAATATTCAGTTAAAAGTGAGATGTGTCATTTTCAGTTCAGAAAACAGTCAGAAATAGTATTGAATTGTAAAGATTTGTATTCTAAAAACTGCAAATAATCAGTCCTAGTTGGTAAACATGCAACTTGAGCAGGTTGCCTCGATATCGACGATCAGTCAAAAGTGTTTATCAGAGTTCGAGGCAGTTTACTCAGGATGCATAAATGTTGATCGGGATTAATTGATTGTCATAGTTACCTTCAATAACGAGAAAAATAGGAACGCTAACAAGTGAAATTAACAGCCGCTGCAAAATTTAGCAACTAATTAAACTCGGAATCACAGTGGCTAACGCACTGAAGCTTAAAACCAAAGGTAAAAATTTCGAGTATCTGTGTAAATATCAATACTAGGATGCGGACACAACCAACTGAAAAGTATCACTCAGGAAAATGCTTGAGTTCTAGATTTAATTCCAACATTAACACAAACGACGTTTGTATTCAACATATAATCGTTGAGTATGCACTGTGATGGTAAAGTGAACTAAGATATTGATATGACTATAATATTGTCGGTATATTACAAGTAATATATGTATATGACATTTGATTGTAGTATATGAACAACTGTTTCATGTCATATGTTATTATTGTTTTATTTAAAATCAATAAATATAATTGTACTTGTTTTTCCAGTTCTATGGTTGAACAAGTTTTTAGTGTTACATATGTAGATGTATACTGTAAAATTAAAAAAAATACCAGTGATAATATCGTCTAAGCAGTTATATATAGCTAAATATTGTTTCACCTAATTAATTTGTTTTAAAATGATCAATTTTTGATTTATATACTACTAAATCATAAGTATTTTTATTACTGTCCTATGGTGTATAACATTTCCGATTGATTCTCATCAAAATTTGGATGGGTTTTTGTTTAATAAAATCTATATTAAATGGTAACCTAGATTTGTTGATTGACTTGAATAAAAATCTCGGGATAATATAATCTATTCATCATCTAAAATCGATGTCCTTCCAAAAAAAATCTTTTGGTAAATAACTTTCAGTTTGTATTGATTTTTTTTATAAAATAGGGTGTCATTTACAGAATAGATATACAAATCTTCCGGTCAGTGACTTTTTTTACTGAAAAATACTATTTTTGTATATACACTTCATTAAAAAAATTTATTTTAAGCCTATGACTGTTATTCACTTGTCCTCAACTAATCATTACTAATTACATAATGATAAATAGTTTGGCTATTCAGAAAGATGTAAAAAAACTTTATATTGCGGGGAAGTTCTACTTACTGCCTACTCGTGGCGGGGGTGTTGATTACGAAATTGGGAGGACGATAAGTGAATGTTCAGGTTGATGGATATGGAGGATCTACCTAGTGGAGTTGGAAAACTTTGATTCAAAACCAGTGGCGCACATGGACTTCAGGATCCTGAGGTAAAAAATGACGTATGAACCAATTATTGGTTCCTGGCTAGCATGGAACTGTATCTCCTAACGTTGCTTCACTGTCTTGTAGATCAGACCTTTAGGTCAAAATCTCCAAGTATGGCCCCCTAAGTATCCGTACAGTATCAGCTCACACACAAATCAAGTAACTTGTGTGGTGCATATGTATTCACTGCTCCTTCGTACCAATAATAATAAAAATAATAATAATTTTTTATTGAAACTTAGTCACTGACATTTCTAAACGTGAAATTAATGGACACTGAAAAAGTATTAAAAATAGACAAACAAAATGTTCATATTAAAACTTACATTGAATTACTAGCATCCCAATAAATTATATGATCTTGATGCTCTGCAAAAATCAATTTTATTAATATCATAATCAATTTTATTAAACATGTCTTGTACATTTAAAATTTATTAATAATTTCAAATGCATTTATATATGATAGAATGAATGAAAATTAATTTAATTTCATGATTTCTGTAGTAAGTTATATTCAAACTAAAACTATATTTAATATACTACTCATATATTTAAAAAATAACTATACACAATTGATGTGTGATTAGTCAAGTTCTAAGTTATATTTAATTGGCTAAAACGTTAGAGGTTAGTAATAATTAACTAAAATATGATTGGTTGATAAGCTGATTGGACTATTTTATTAATGTTATCCAATGATTATTGCGTAATATTTCGTGTTCACATTTTTTTTTCATATAAAAGGCTTAACCCATAATTGACAATATAAAATATGAAATAAATTCCATTTAATTTATAAGATTAATGGATTGTTACAGTGTTATAGGTTTCTACATCAATGTTACGTTTATGAAAGATTTTCGGATTAAATTTTTATGTATATACTTGTAATAAAGTTAGATGTGTTGCATCACAACTTATTCATCTGTACCATATTATTATCATCAGTTATTGAACATGAATAATCTAAACAGAAACTGAAGTATTCTGGTAATCTATGGCACAAGTACTTCTATATTTTTGAAATGAATCAATGTACATGAAAAAAAGATAGGCTATTAATCAACTGAGTCTTTAGTTAATGATGAAATTGCTGTTTGATAGACAATAAAAAATGTTTATTTAGAAGACGTTATTTTTTAAAGAAGTAATTTGAAATGCCCGGTACTTTTATTCTGATTATATATAGGACACCTTTCAAGTTGAACAACCTCTTCACTGACTAATTAAAACAATGAATATACATCGTTGTTTATTCAATGTTTAGCTGATTACTGAAGGTAGAATGTTATACTTTTTCAAACCGTTGTACGATTGAGTGAATATGATTTATGCAGGTGAATCATCTGAAGTAGTGTAAATAATGTAAGCGAGTGACAATAATTCATATAAAATAGATCTTCCCGAATTTCTTATCTAAAGAATATCGGAAAGCAAGACAAATTAGTTGATGAAAGACTATATTGTTTGCTATAATGAGATCAAACATATATAGAATAAAATTATTGATTAAAATGTGTTATGTTTAAATGATGATTGAATTATTGTGAATAGGCCGTATGTTAACCGATTGAATTAGATTTTGACTACTTGATTCAAGTCTTTGATATTATATCGAAACGATTTATGAGGTAAACTAATCTAAAGTAACCATGGTTCTACATTTTTTGCCACCAAATTACAACATGTAATATAAATGAATATGTACATAAACACCATCAAAGTATAATATATCAACTTTTATCTGATATTTAAGTTAAATTGTCATTATCCAGCCCAAAGTGTCGATGAAGTCAAAATCGTACTTTCACAAGCTTTTCAGTAACGAATGATAATTAAGGTACCTTGGTAGTTTTTGATGGTTAAGACATATTTATTACATGTTTCTCCATATTCCCAAAAAAGTATATTCTCAAATAATTGTTATATAAGTTATATTATTTATATAGTGAAAGCAAATCCATAAACAAATAAGATTAATACATTCGTCCAATAGTTACTGATATGATGGAAAGAAAAGTCGATTTTCGATTGATTTACTCATTATGGGTTTTGTTCAAGATTACTTCTGTTTCGATTCAATGTAATGATTACTCAATGTAGTATTTGTTTTATTGTCTTGTATGATATTTTATTCTGTATAATATGCGATATTCTTCTATCCCATTGACATGAACTATGCTCAGTATGGGATTTGTTATAACTAAGTATTTTTCATATATATGATTTCATCCTAATTGTTAATCAAAATGGGTGTACAATCAATATATAAATGAGTGTATTTTCTACTAGAGTTGTTGTCGTCGTCATAGTGTTTTGGGTTAATAAATCACCACTTATACCAGTCTTTGTGTTCTTACTTTCGCGTCGTGGGAATTGCAGAGGTCCCTCGTCCCGAGTATAAGTGATAAGCGTTTCCGACATAACAATCAGCGACGACCAGTTACAAAATGTAGCATTAAAAGAGCTAAGACAATTAGCATTCAAACGACAATTTATAACAGTTACATAGGATTTCAGTCATGAACCTCCAAGTAATGAAAACATGAGTAAGTTTTTATTTGTATCGGTAAATTTATCTGAAGAGATTAACGATTTTCATGTTCCACAGATTTTTATATTTTTATATTAAGTTCTAGGAAATAACACGTAGAATCAGGAAACTATTTTAAATTTAATGCTAAAATCATCAAGAAATATTTGTACAAAGTTCTAATCTTGCGGACACGATCGTGGATGCACACTGCTAAGAAGTCTCATACTAAGACAAAATAACAGTCTAGTGCTTCCAGGTTTTCCATGGTAGTCTATGTCTAATTAAATCATGAATTCAAACAATAAAAAGTAAAAATCGCCCATAGTTTATGCACTTGCCATTTAGTTTCTTATTTTACACTTCATACAGCTTTAGGGCTTTTTAAAAGTAGACATTTTTGACTGAATTTTAACTGTATTATAAAGTAATTAACTTCAACTTATATAAGTAAACAGGTTTTTGTTTTACTCATACTTAATTATGGTCTACAATTAGACGTTTCAATTTCAAGTAGGGAAATTTCAATTATTTATTTTTGTTGAATTACATGAAGATTTAAAGGAATAGTTTTGTTCATTTGAAAGAATAACAAATTACCACGTTTCGTGTTTTCTCAAAATTATATAAGATCGTTAATTGACTGTTTGGTTTTCCACTTTTTTTATTATTCAATTCATCAGGTTTTTGTTTAGTAATTTAATAAATAAAGAAACATTTTAACTGAAGTATGTTTTTTAAAAGGTAGAGTTTAGTTTTAGACGACAAAAAAACAAATTTGCTTTTTAAAGTTTCCCAGGTGAGACTATAATATATGGACAAGCTTTGAGTGAAGCTCAACTGCCCTTGAGAGTGTCCACCTAATAACTAGAATCAAATGACGGTTATAAACCAGTGTAAGGAATTGAAATTATGATTTACAGTTGATGGTTATGGTTGGGATTGATAGTTTTCATCACGACATCAGCTATAATTCCAAAACTCTATTTATCCGGATGAATGAGTGGATTTCACTCCAAAATCCGAGACATGTTATCTTATACGTGGTTGGTTCGTCCATAAATTATCGTCTCGCCGTTACCCAAAACTCAATCATTAGACTTCCGTTTAATATTTGAAAAACTGTTTCAAATGAAAAAATAGTTAATTCATTTTGTATTGTTTGTTTGAGTCTTCGCATTGATATTTAGAACTGTAACTAATCAGTCACTTAATGGCATATGTGCAACTTGTGCGGTTTGCCTTAATATTGCTTTAAGTCATATCCAGATGATGAGTCATGAATGAAACAAAACGCGTGTCCTAGATTCTATTTCTAACCAGCATTCATCTTCGCTTATAAAAAATGGTTAATGTGTAATTTTTCAAACAGATTAATTTAAAATAATTCTATGTGAGAAATTTCATACTTATGTTAATCAAGCCAAAGTTTAGAAATTTTTGAAAACCGTTAATGTGATTTTGTTTTGAAATACTAAATTACTTCTAAAATTGTGTAATTGATTGAAGTTATAATTGTAACACTATCGGATACTAGCTCAGTTGTCTGGACGTTAAGTAGTCGCTCTTGAGAATTTATTGAAATCTTTCATACTTTATATTGAATGTTTCATCAGTATGTTCGAAAAGTTACAAAGCAAACCAATCGTCATTATTGTTCAGAATGAAACATGTCATACTACTTATAATTATTTTTCAATTTTTATACCATTAAACTATATACATAACTATGTGCTAATATTTGTCTTAAAAATCTAATTAGCATTTCTTCTTTATTTTTGTGAATGTAACGAAACAATAGATGAAGAATACTAAACTCTTTAGAACAAACTCATTCAATTTTATTTGTTAAACAAAAAATACCCGTTTCGGATCATAAATGATTTTGAAAAATAATGGAATCACATAGTTTATTTTTACAAATGACATCAATTGACATGATTATGACAGTTGAATCGATTTAATAAAATAAAAACAATCATTACGTTATTGATCTGAAATACTCATCGAATAGAACCACCCTTTTGGCATTTAGATTTGAAATGAATAGATTTTTGAAGATAATGTCACTCATTGACCGAACTAGAATTTTAATTCTTAAATAATTTATTCATTCAAACTATTCTTGTAAAATAACTTATCTAATGAGAGAGGGATAATAAAGGATAGGTAAATTGTAAGGTGGAGACTAATCATTGTTTATTTCTATTTGTGATAAAATAATCTTATTGAATAAAGGACTCCCCTTTGAACAGATAAGTCGCACTCTGGAATCACACTCCATCTGATATAACACAAATAGCTAGCTATACAACAAGTGTAGCTCAGAAATAATGTAAAAAAGTCTGTACTTAGTAAATAAGTCATAATTTGACAATATACATCAAAAATTAAATGAAATTCACATAACAGACTAACTTTTTAAGTTGTGGATACTATCGTTAAGATTATTTAGTCGTTTTTTTCCCAATTGAAAGTGAAGCTGGAGCACTCAAAACCATTATTGATAAATACAGTAGTAGGAAATTGTATGTTCTATCAGCATTTGTAAAGATGTGGATTTTTTTGTCAGGAATTCGAGATGATTCATCCATAACCACGATCTAACTTCCTGTTCTTTAGTGGGGCCTATGTGACAAGGCGATCTAATTTAAGACACTGAAAATTGAATACACACCTGAGAATAACCCATATAGTAATGTAATATGTTATATATAGTCAGATTTTATAGCGTTAACAGTTTATCTTAGTTCAAGGCACTTTAGTATTTTGGACTTTATCAGAAGTTGAAGTTATGGATTTCAAGCCTTGAATCAGAATCATTAAATGATATATATAAGCTATCTTCCTTATCCAAATTATGGAATTTTTCTATGAAAAATGGTAAAATC